CTTTCCCTAAGCGTGATGCAACAGGGAACATCCCACTGAGCACACGTTCTCTTTCAATGCAAATATTACTCGTCATTCGAGCGACGAATAACAGGAAGACAATGGCAGCCCGTGGAGATCAATTAAGACCGGGGGGACGTATCAGCGATCAGATCTGGAATGAAACTTTCAGTGTTCCAAATAACGCGCGCGCGCGCGTGCTCTCGCTGGCCGCGAGAAATCTGCCTGCTAATTAATTTGTACGGCTTCCTGGCAGGTTTATTTCTGTCTAAGCGAATGAAAACCACTCGGCTTACTTTCACGGCCACGAAAAAAGGCGAATCGTTTTCCGTCCAGACGGATCACGCCGGCAATAATTTCACGCCACATAACGGGCAACGAGTTGGAAAGAAGCTCCGCGTGAAAGCCCCTGGAAAAAGGGGGAAAGAAGAAAAGCAAGGAAAAAGCAAGAAAAGGAAAAAAGGGGAAAAAGGGGAAAAGAAAGGGGAGAAAAGGGAGAGGAACAGAAAGCAACACGGGATCGCACTGTTCTCGCGGCGAGTAACGGCGTGCTGGTAAGAATTGATCGGTTCCACGCGAAATTTGGATGCCACGGATGTCACCGTATCTAATAATAACGGAAACAAAGCGAGCCGTTTGACGCTCGTCCAGAAAACTGTATTTCGGTGATCCTCGTGAACGTTTTATTCGATGCGACAGAAATTCCCTGCGTCTCGTTCGTTCGGGTCAGGACCGCAGAGAAGAAAAGTAAACGCGAACCAGTTCCGTGGAAATGTACGCGTTTACGAGTTACTGGGTCGCTGGGACGCCATAAATCTACGAGGAAATCCTTCAAATCGTAAACTTCGATTCAATAACGTCGGTTATGGTAATGTCGAAATAGTATCGATATGCATCGCCGATAAATCTTCGATTCCAAGCTCATATTGGGCTGTTTCTTAGCACAGACTATACCGAAATGCGAGATTATTCGTAATCTATTACTATAAATTATTAGTCCTTCGAATTCAAAGCTCTTTCAAAAATTTTTCTGTCATGAAATTGATGAGAAAAATTTTCAGTCAAATAAGAAAAAAGAAGTCGTATGTAACTATCTTATTTTAATATTCATGTGGCAACAAATGTGGCAACAAATGTTAAAAATGTAGTAAAGGCTTTAGGGATTCTTAAAGATGGCAAGTATGTTCCATAGAACATTTTTCCACTTTTCAAATTGAATTTTGAATTTTTACACAATTTCCTGCCAAAGAAGAAATTTTCATTTCTGTGCACTCGATTAATTTGCCAAATGAGATTCTTCTTCGAAGATGTGAGCAGAGTTAAGAGAAGAATATTGTGCAAACGTTTAAAGATTTATTTAAAGACTCCAACAGGATGTAAAATGTAAAAGAAACAATAATAGATTCGATATGATGTAAGACAGGAAGTTCGTGTAGTAATAAATTCAACGTTTCATTCATGTTAACCTTAAATTGGCGGGAAGTGGTGATATTTTGAAATTGAGTATTAATAGGAAGTAATTATGTCGATCATCGAGCTATTTTCACCTTCATTCATATTAACTGTACAAGCGAATCCATGATCGTTTCCTTCGTGTTTTATATTTCTATCGTTATTCTCTAATAAAGTCTCCTAACCTCTAAACTTCTCAGGCGCGTTGCATATACGCTATCTAAATTATTCAACGATAAATCACGATAATCTAAAATGTCTATTAACCTCAACTTATGGAAACAACATATACAATACGAATTAAAATATACTCAATAATAGATTCAAATCTACCACATTTTAGCCAAACGAATAAAATGGCGGATAAAGAAACGGTAGATAGTGAATTTCAAACAAAATAGTGAATGAATGAATAATGAATTCCAAATGAGGAATCTCAAAAGAAACAAAGGATAAAGAAACGACAGAGAAGAAGAATAAAAATAGTCGAAAAATATAATGACAAAAGCCATAAAATTAATAAATAATCGTTTTTACCATAGATGCAATGTTAAATATCCATCGTATCTAATCACAGAATTTAAGACACGTTACCCTAACTAACATTGTCTTTGTAAGTCCAAACTGAGACTTACAAAGTTCATATTAGCAGTTTTCCGA